GGAGAGAAAGAAGGATAGTGGATGGATGGGATAGGAAGAGGAAGGGAGAAAGAATGAAAGAGTTGGAGGAAAAGGGAGGGAGGGAGGGGGAAATAAAAGGTGAGTGGAGGAGGAAGAGGAGATGGAGGAGGAGGAAGAAGAGGAGGAGGAAGAGTTGTTGGAGAAGAAAGAGGAGGTAGAGATTAGTAGAGAGAAGGTGGAAGAAGAAAATAAAGAGGAGGTGGAGGAGAAAGAGGAAGTGGCACAGGAGGAGGAAGACGATGTGGAGAAGGAAGAGGATATGGAAGAGGAGGAAGGTGGGGTGGAGGAGTAGGAAGAGGAGGTGGAAGAAGAGGAAGAGGAGGTGGAACACGAAGTGGACGAAGAGATGGAAGAGGAGGTAGAGGAGGAAGAAGAAGAGAACGTGGAGGAGGAGGAAGAGGAGGAGAGGCTGGAGGAGGATTGTCAACATATCAGAGGCCTCCTACCCTCCAGCCTGGCGTACGCTGATTGGTCCGTGGTTATCCTTCCACATAACGGACCAATCAAAGCTAATCTAATCTAACCTAACTTGACCTGGACAAACAGAAGGGACATTGGCTGACTCTAAGGTGGCCTAAGAATATAATAATCAGCTCACGGCATACCCCCATGAGCGTGGATTTTGCAATTACTGCCTCCTCCCAGTCGGCCGCCAACCAACCGACTCGTGGTGGCGGCGGCAGGTGTCGGCACAGTGACGCCACCGAGATGTCATACAGTCATACACCCGTCATTAGTCACGTTGTGTGTGTGTGTGTGTGTGTGTGTGTGTGAGCAAGATGCAGAAAGAGAAATGGACTTAGAGAGAGAGAGAGAGAGAGAGATGCATAATAACAACAATACCCCCCGCCCCGGCAAGGTGACCGAAGTAACTCAGCAGGTGCTCGCCGCCGCCGCCGCCGCCGCATACCATTCATGAACACCTCCGCCAGAATTAAGCGTGGCAGGAAAGAAGTGTCGTAAGTACAGCACAACAGTATCCGGGTTCCAATGCATTTAAATCGCCAGCTGTGGAGTGTGAGAATGGCGGCGCAGGTCTCCCTCCTTCCACCCTGCCAACCATCCTTAGGCGCCTAGTTCTCCCTGCCTGTGTGTCTCTCTTCTCCTTTGATAAATTACCTGCGGCTCTTCTCGCTCATGACAGTTGTAAATAACAGATGCGTTGACGACGGAAGTAATTCTTAGCTATTTCATTCTGCGAGAGGTGGTGGAGGTGGAGCTAGCGACTTGTGGCAACTCTTAGCTTCCTCATACCGAATGGCGGCGCTGCCATGTCTGCCTGCACAACCACAAACACACACACACACACGTAGGTAATGGCTTCCAGAGTGACTTTTCAAAGTAATGACTGGGAGATAATAATGGCCTCTTGTATCAGATCGTTATGGCGGCACACAAACACACACACACACACACACACACACACACCGTTGATGAGGGAGAGAGAGAGAGAGGGGGGGTGGTGGTGGTGGTGGTGGTGGTGGCTGAGGGTATTTTCTGGGTCGTGTTACGGTAGTAGAATCAGTGGCTGGAGGCGGAAGTTGTGGCTACCTTAAGTTGACACTCCAGAAGATACCATGATTCTCACAGTTTCCTTACGTCATATTTAAGACAACACAAAATACTGTACAAAGATCCAGCGAGTCGAGTGTTTGTTTTGACGACATTTTTGGAGGCCATCTAAGTAGAAAAAAAATCAGGAGATATGTTTTCATTTCTTGTTGTGAGAAATAATTTCTTACTTATGAACTTTTGAAAAGTCAAGAGCCAAGATTCTCAAAGGTTAATACGAATAATATTTCTCGTAAGTGAAGAGTTGAGAATACGGGTAACTGCTTCAAGTAACTTTTGTAGCTAAATATACCTTTCTTAATTATCAAAGGTAAATATTGAGAAAGTTCTGGCCACACACACACACACGAGAGAGACTGAAGATAATCAATCATGTTGTGGTAGATATATTGTGTGGCCTCACGTCTCCTCTACCTCATAACCAGTCCAAATGTTCCGCCAGACTGAGCTGAAGAAATGGGGGACACACACACAAGATAGTGTTGAGGAGTGACTATACTGTACAGGAAGACAGACAGGCAGGTGAGTGTATGGGTGTGGTAGAGGTGGTTAGTGGAAGTGTGACCAACCCGCATAACAGCTGCTGAAGATGACCATGACTGTGGACCCATGACACACACACACACACACACACACACACACACACACACACACACACACACACACCACATAACCATTCCATATGAGCTCAAATTATTCCTCTCTATTTCCCACTGACAACCTCCCCCCCCACCCCCACCTTTGGTATACATCGTAGACGTCGTGTTTCTGCCTGCAGTGCGTTATGATACAGTACTCGTGACTGGATCATTTCATTCACCACCATCAAAACACAACATGTGGTAGTGGTGGTGGTGGTTGGTGTGGGGATAGTGGTGTGGTGTGGGGATGGTGGTGGTGGGTGGTGGTAGTAATAATAGTGGGGTTGGTGGTGATGGTAATAATAGTGGTGGTGGTGGTGGTGGTGGTGGTGGTGGTGGTGGTGGTGGTGTGGGGATAGTGGTGGTGTGGTGGTGGTGTGGTGGTGGTGTGGGGGGGATAGTGGTGGTGGTGGTGGTGGTAGTAATAGTGGTGGTGGTGGTGGTGGTGATGGTAATAATGGTGGTGGTGGTGGTGGGGTGGTGTGGGGATAGTGGTGGTAGTGGTGGTGGTGTGGGGATAGTGGTGTGGTGGTGGTGGTAATAATAGTGGTGGTTGGTGGTGGTGGTGGTGGTGGTGGTGGTGGTGGTGGTAATAATAGTGGTGGTGGTGGTGGTGGTAATAATAGTGGTGGTTGTGGTGGTGGTGGTGGTAGTAATAATATGGTGGTGGTTGTGGCGATGGTCGTGGTGGTGGTGTGGGGATAATGGTGGTGGTGGTGGGTAGTAATATGGTGGTGGTGGTGGTGATGGTGGTGTGGTGGTGGTGGTGGTGGTGGTGGTGGTGGTGTGGGGAGTGGTGGTGGGGTGGTGGTGGTGGTGGTGGCGTTGGTGTGGGGATTGTGGTGGTGGTGGTGGTGGTGGTGGTGGTGGGGTGGTGGTGGTGGTGTGGGGATAGTGGTGGTGGTGGTGATGGTAATATGGTGGGTGGTTTTGGTGTGGTGGTGGTGGTGGGTGGTAATAGCGGTGGTTGTGGTGGTGGTGGTGGTAGTAATAGTGGTGGTTGTGGTGGTTGTGGTGGTGGTGGTGGTGGTGGTGATGGTAATAATGGTGGTGGTGGTGGTGGTGGGTGGTGGTGGTGGTGGTGGTAATAATGGTGGTGGTGGTGGTGGTGGTGGTAGTAATAATAGTGGTGGGTGGTGGTGGTGGGTAGTATGTGGAAGTGGTGGTTTGTGGTGGTGGCCGTGGTGGTGGTTGTGGGATGAGTGGTGGTGGTGGTGGTGGTGTGGGGATAGTGGTGGTGGTGGTGGTGGTGTGGGATAGTGGTGGTGAGTGGTGGTGTGGGGATGGTGGTGGTGGTGGTGTGGGGATAGGTGGGTGGTGTGGGGATAGTGGTTGTGGTGTGGTATGGGGATGGTGGGTGTGGGGATAGTGTGGTGGTGTGGTGGTGGTGGTGGGTGGTGGTGGTGGTGGTGGGGATAGTGGTGGTGTGGGGGATAGTGGTGGTGGGTGGTGGTGGTGAGTAATAGTGGGTGGTTGTGGTGGTGGTGGTGGTGTGGGGGATAGAGGTGGTGGTGGTGTGGGATAGTAGTGGTGGTGATGGTGGTGGTGGTGGGTGTGGGGATAGTGGTGGTGTGGTGGTGGTAGTGGTGGTGGTGTTGGTGGTGGTGTGGGGAAAGTGGTGGTGGGGATATGTGTGTGGCGGTGATGGTGGTGGTGTGGTGTGGGGATGGTGGTGTGGTGGGGTGTGGGTGGTGGTGGTGGTGTGGTGGGTAGTAATAAGTGGTGGTTGTGGTGGTGGGTGGGGGATAGTAGGGTGTGGTGGTGTGTGTGATAGTAGTGGTGGTGATGGTGGTGGTGTGGGATAGTGGTGGTGGTGGTGGTGGTGTGGGATAGTGGTGGTGGTGGTGGTGGTGTGGGGGATAGTGGTGGTGGTGGTGGTGGTGGTGGTGAGGATAGTGGTGGTGATGGTGTGGGATAGTGGTGGTGTGTGGCGATAGTGGAGTGTGGTGGTGGTGTGGCGATAGTGGTGGAGGTGGTGGTGGTGGAGGCTGCAACACTACCTCCAACAACACCTTCAGTAAACAATGGTTAAGTCATCCGTTACAGTATAAGAGCTATCAGCCGGGGGCAGGTGGCTCAACCACCCCTCCTTCTCTCCTCCCTTCCTCCCCATCACCCCCTTCCTCTCCTCTCACTCTTCCCTCCATCTCCTCCCCCCACCTTCCTCCCTCTTCTCGTCTTCATCCTGCCCTCTTCTCTCACCTTCTCCTTCTCCTTCCCTCCTCCTTCTCTCCCTCTCCTCCTCCTCCTCTCACCTCCTCTCCTTCTCCCTTGTTCTCACCTCTTCCCTCCATTCCTCACCTTCCCCCTTCCTCCTCTCACCTTCCCTCCTCCTATCCCTTCCCCTCCTCTCACCCCTCCTCCTCCTCACCCTTCCTCCTCCCTCCTCCTCCCTTTCCTCCTCCTCCTCCTCTCACCCTTCCTCCTCCTCTCACCTCCTCCTCCTTACCCCCTCCTCCTCTCACCCCTTCCTCCTCTCACCTCTTCCTCCTCCTCACCCTTCCCTCTCCTCCCTCCTCCTCCTCACCCTTCCTCCCTCCTCATTCCCTCCTCCCTTCCTCCTCCCTCACCCTTCAAATGTACACATAAGTAGTCCCAGGAACTCATAAATGACCCTCTTCACTAAAAAAAAGGCCCAATATCTGAGAGGTATCCTTAACTCAAAAAGCAGCCCCTTAACTCAAAATTATTCTCGTAACTCAAAATTATTCCCAAGTAACTCGCAATTGAATCCTCGGTAACTCACAAGTGGCCCCTGTTACTCACCAGGTACTGATCGATGGGCTTGTCATACACCCGCTGGATCTTGGTGGCGTTGAGGGCGTGGGCGATGTGGAGGGCGGTGCTGTCGAACCTCCCATACTTGTAGTCGCTGAAGGAGGAGTTGTGGCCGTTCTCTGAGCCGTTCCCACTACCGCTGCCCTGTAGAGAGAGAGAGAGAGAGTTAGGAGAGTGGAGGAGAGAGTGTGAGTGAGTGTGAGGAGAGAGAGAGAAAGAGAGAGAGGGAAGAGATAATGAATGGTGGCTAACGGAGAGAGAGAGAGAGAGAGAGAGAGAGAGAGAGAGAGAGAGAGAGAGAGAGAGAGAGAGAGAGAGAGAAAGAAGAAAGAGAGAGAGAGAGAGAGAGAGAGAGAGAGAGAGAGAAAGAGAGAGAGAGAGAGAGAGAGAGTTAACAAGTGACAGAATATAGAGGGGAAGGAGGAAGGAGAGGAAGTAGCGGTTAACTGTAAAACAAAATAAAGAGAAGGAGATAACGGTGATGAACGGAGGTGGAAAAAGAGAGAGAAAATCGTGAGACTGTACAAAAAAAAGATAATAACCAGTTTAAAGAGAAGAAGAAACAATAACAATTAAATAAAGAAAGATACAAAAAAGAACAAATGGAAAAGGGAAAAGAAAGAAAAAAATAAGGAAATGGGAAAAAACGAGTAAACGAGGATGAAAAAGGCGAAAGAAACAAACACAAGAGAGAGAGAGAGAGATGAAGGGAGTTAGGGTTAGGGTTAGGTTAGGGGTTATAGGGAAGAAGTTAGGGTTAGGTTAGGTTAGGTTAGGTTAGGCCTGCTTTAAGCATCAGACAACAACCATCAACCATTTGCCTAATTTGCATACAAACTTCCAGGAAGATTTATGTGACAAGTTTTTGAGTCATGTTCTCGAACCTTATGTCGGACAGACGGAGAGACGGGGAGACGGACGGAGAGACAGGCGGAGAGAGAGACGGATAGACGGACGGAGAGACTGAGAGACGGACGAAGAGGCAGGCGGAGAGACTGAGAGACGGTCAGAGAGACAGAGGGAGAGAAGGGACGGAGAGACAGGCGGGAGAGAGAGACGGATAGACGGACGGAGAGGGAGAGAGAGACGGATAGGACAGGAAGGAGAGGCAGGCGGAGAGAGAGACGGATAGACGGACGGAGAGGCATGGGAGAGAGAGACGGAGAGACGGGCGGCGACACGAAAAGACAGAAAGACAAAGAATGTACGGAAAAAGAATAAACAGACGGAAAGACGAAGAGACAGACATAGAGACGAAGAGACGGCGGCACATAGAGATAAGGAGTCGAACGGACAGACGGAGATACGGACAGACAAAGAGAGAAACGGACGGACGGAGAAACAGACAGGAGTCGACAGAAAACAGACAGACGCGGAACAGCTTGACCCAGAGAGAGGTTGTGTTTGTGTGTGTGTGTGTGTGTGTGTGTGTGTGTGGACGCAGGTGAACTGGTCAGGTAGGTGATTCACTGATTAATTCACCTTGTCTGGATAAAGGAGAGAGAGAGAGAGAGAGAGAGAGAGAGAGAGAGAGAGAGAGAGAGAGAGTGACATTCTACGCTCTGCCAAATATGTCACCCAATAGCGTGTGACCTGATAAATGAGAGCTTAGGAGTCTCTCTCTTCTCTCTCTCTCTCTCTCTCTCTCTTTCTCTCTCTCAACTCAAGCGCCACACCTCTGTCACAATTACCTGTCCGTCACACCTCCTAACACACATGACTAAAACACACATGACTCAGATATCCACACACACACACACACACACACACACACACACACACACACACACGTAATCCTTGGTGAAAGAGAACTGAGAGAGAGAGAGAGAGAGAGAGAGAGAGAGAGAGAGAGAGAGAGAGAGAGAGAGAGAGAGAGAGAGAGAGAGAGAGAGAGAGAGAGAGAGAGAGAGAGAGAGAGAGACAGACAGACAGACAGACAGACAAACAGACACATATCACAGACACATGCCCTGGTGTAGAGACAGAGACAGACACACATGCCCTGGTGTAGAGACAGAGAGACACATACCCTGGTGTAGAGAGAGAAACAGACACATACTTCCTGGTGTAGAGACAGAGAGACAGACACATGCCATGGTGTAGAGACAGAGAGACAGACATACCATGGTGTAGAGACAGAGACAGACACATGCCCTGTGAGTGTAGAGAGAGACAGACACATACCCTGGTGTACTGAGAGACAGAGAGACAGACACATACCATGGTGTAGAGACAGAGAGACAGACACACATACCCTGGTGTAGAGACAGAGAGACAGACACATACCATGGTGTAGAGAGAGAGAGAGACAGACACATGCCCTGGTGTAGAGACAGAGACAGACACATGCCTGGTGTAGAGACAGAGGAACAGACACATGCCTAGTGTGAGACAGAGAGACAGACACATGCCCTGGTGTAGAGACAGAGACAGACACATGCCCTGGTGTAGAGAGAGAGAAACAGACACATACCCTGGTGTAGAGACAGAGAGACAGACACATACCCTGGTGTAGAGACAGAGAGACAGACATGCCTGGTGTAGAGAGAGAGAGACAGACACATACCTGGTGTAGAGAGAGAAACAGACACATACCCTGGTGTAGAGACAGAGACAGACACATGCCTGGTGTAGAGAGAGAGACAGACACATACCCTGTGGTGTAGAGACAGAGAGACAGACACATGCCCTGGTGTAGAGACAGAGAGACAGACACATACCCTGGTGTAGAGACAGAGACAGACACATGCCTAGTGTAGAGACAGAGAGACAGACACATGCCCTGGTGTAGAGAGAGAGAGAGACAGACACATACCCTGGTGTAGAGACAGAGAGACAGACACATGCCCTGGTGTAGAGAGAGAGAGAGACAGACACATACCCTGGTGGTGTAGAGACAGAGAGACAGACACATACCCTGGTGTAGAGACAGAGAGACAGACATGCCCTGGTGTAGAGAGAGAGAGACAGACACATACCCTGGTGTAGAGACAGAGAGAGACAGACACATACCCTGGTGTAGAGACAGAGAGACAGACACATGCCTGGTGTAGAGAGAGACAGACACATACCTGGTGTAGAGAGAGAGAAAACAGACACATACCCTGGTGTAGAGACAGAGACAGACACATACCTGGTGGCAGAGACAGAGAGACAGACACATACCCTGGTGTAGAGACAGAGAGAGACAGACACATGCCTAGTGCAGAGAGAGAAACAGACACATACCCTGGTGTAGAGACAGAGAGACAGACACATGCCCTGGTGTAGAGAGAGAAACAGACACATACCCTGGTGTAGAGACAGAGAGACAGACACATGCCCTGGTGTAGAGAGAGAGAGACAGACACATACCCTGGGTGGTAGAGAGAAACAGACACATATACCCTGGTGTAGAGACAGAGACAGACACATGCCCTGGTGTAGAGAGAGAGAGACAGACACATACTGGTGTGAGAGACAGAGAAACAGACACATACCCTGGTGTAGAGACAGAGAGACAGACACATGCCCTGGTGTAGAGAGAGAGAGAGACAGACATACCCTGGTGTAGAGAGAGAAACAGACACACAGCACCCTGGTGTAGAGACAGAGAGACAGACACATGCCCTGGTGTAGAGACAGAGAGACAGACACATGCCTGAATTGTAGAGAGAGAGAGACAGACACGCCTGGTGTAGAGACAGAGAGACAGACACATGCCCTGGTGTGAGACAGAGAACAGACACATACCCTGGTGTAGAGAGAGAGAAACAGACACATACCCTGGTGTAGAGACAGAGAGACAGACACATGCCCTGGTGTAGAGAGAGAGAGACAGACCCATACCCTGGTGTAGAGAGAAACAGACACATACCCTGGTGTAGAGACAGAGAGACAGACACATGCCCTGGTGTAGAGAGAGAGACAGACACATACCCTGGTGTAGAGACAGAGAAACAGACACATACCCTGGTGTAGAGACAGAGAGAGAGACAGACACATGCCTGGTGTAGAGAGAGAGACAGACACATACCCTGGTGTAGAGACAGAGAACAGACACATGCCCTGGTGTAGAGACAGACACATACCCTGGTGGTGTAGAGAGAAAGCAAGACATACATACCCTGGTGTGAGACAGAGAGACAGACACATGCCCTGGTGTAGAGAGAGAGACAGACACATACCCTGAATTGTAGAGACAAGAGAAACAGACAGACAGACAGACACATGCCCTGGGTGGCAGAGACAGAGAGACAGACACATACCTGGTGTAGAGAGAAACAGACAGACAGACAGACACATACCCTGGTGTAGACAGAGACAGACACATACCCTGGTGTAGAGACAGAGACAGACACATACCCTGGTGTAGAGAGAGAGACAGACACATACCCTGGTGTGAGACAGAGAGACAGACACATACCTGGTGTAGAGACAGAGAGACAGACACCTGGTGTAGAGAGAGAAACAGACAGACAGACAGACAGAGGAGACATACCCTGGTGTAGAGACAGAGAGAGACAGACACATACCCTGGTGTAGAGACAGAG